AGCCTAACTGCATTCGATTTAATTACATTATTCACCCTTATTTGATTGATGCAAAAACATTTAATATATGTTCTCTCTTATTTTCTCCCATCACCAATAAAATAAACAATGTCATAACATGCTTTTCTTAACCATATAGAACATCCTATTCTTTCCATTTATCTACTATACTGATCTAAGGATCTGTGGCTATCAAAATTTGCATAATGATCACCCAGAGATCTTATTTAAAAAGCAGATTTCTGGGCTCTACTTCTTTTATTCTGATTCAATAGTTATGGAAAAGGACAAGAAAGTGACTTTAAAAACGCATCTTCACTCATTTTGATACAAGTATTCTTGGTCACTCTGAAAGATGTAGCTAAGACTGTTAAGAGGCCCATAGTGCTGAAACATAATCCTATTTTCCCCAAATTATTCTGTTCCTCAATTTCAAAACTTAGAGTCAAGGTTCCTAAAACTGAGCAACAAAATTACACTATTATTTTAACTGGAAGGAAATAAGAAAAGAAAAATCTAGTCCGACACATACTGTGCAAATGAAAACACTGAGCCTCAAAGAGTACCCAAAAAGTCACAAATTTATCTTGGAATTTTTTACCTAAGACTACTCTATTTTCTCTCCTACATGAGCACGGTGTCTCAACATCCATGTTTGCAGTAAATACAACCTTAAGAGTAACTGTGTGCTTGTGCATTATATGTGTATGCTTGTCAAAGATGAAATCCTCTCTAGACAAGTTTAAAGCATTAAAAATAATTAAACATTAATAATTTAAAGCATACTCTAATAATATAAAAATTTTTTCTGCTCCGAGCTAAAGGTCACTTTAAAATTATTTACTTCACATGTATTTTCATCATTTTATCAATATGATAAATTTGAGCGAGAGCTTTTTGGAGAAAAGATCATCCCAAATGGAACTGTGATTTTCAACTTTTATTTTTAGAAGCACTAAAATGCGATACTTTAAAACTTGGATTCATCCTAGTTCAGGGTAGGTCCTTGAACAAAAATCACTGTAGCAGTTCAATGCATTTTGTTTAGAGATTCGACTGTTTTTCTGCAAGTAAAATCTGTGATTAGTGGTAGAATAGGAAACTCTGAGAAAAACATACATACATATTATAATGTTCTCCCTCTTTGAAAAATGTCATTAGTTTTGGGCATGAAAGAATGATGGGAAAGAAATTTCCTTCCTAAGATTATTAACCTAGAATATAATAATTAACAAAGCTGGAGTTTTCTTGGTGGTATACTTTCCCAAATTCTATTGAACCTATCTAATGTTTCTTTAACTGCAAAAAATTTTAAAATATTCTTAGGACAGCCTATCACATATTGTTCAAAATCTACTTCTTTTTCTAATCTTAAGTGACTCAAGTAAAAAGTTGCATATATTATATCTGTTTCATTTATATCTGTTCTTCAAAAAAATATATACTGCCATCTTTAATTTCTACACTATTTCTATAATTTTTACCTAAACTAGAATTGATTAAAAAAAAAAAAGACTGAAATGTGACTTCTATTCCCTTGAATAATTTAATTCAGCTCAAATTTATTTGAAAATGCCTCCTAAGCCTTGTAAGAAATATTTTGCAATCTCATTCCCATTATATCCCTTCTTTTTTCTATTAATACTTTCACAAAGCATGCTCTTGGCTAAATATTGCACAGGGGGTTCTTCCTTCCTTCCTTCCTTCCTTCCTTCCTTCCTTCCTTCCTTCCTTCCTTCCTTCTTTCTTTCTTTCTTTCTTTCTTTCTTTCTTTCTTTCTTTCTTTCTT